CATATTGTGTATTTCTTCTTTCTATTTTCATTGTTTATATTTCGTAATCCCCCTTTCTTATCTAGTTATCGGTATCCCAACCAAAGGTCATTCCTTGATGATTTTTGGCATTAACAATTTGGCGCCGTCTGTGGGGACGATAACTAGATTCTATTTCTATAGCCAAACACATTTCCACAAAGTATTCTCTAAACACAAAAGCTTATAGTCGTGGTGCTACACCACACTACCATTATTCGGTCTGCTTCTGTTTACTTACGTTTTCATGACCCTGAATTCGTTTTTAGCCCTTTTTTGCAACTAAAAATTGTAGATCTTGAAAATTTAATGAATTTAGGCTCAAGAATCACTCAATTTAGAGTTCGGAACTAAAAGTTACGCCTCTAGAAAGTTTCATGCAGATGTTGTCTTCTTTCTGTCGCTGCAACAACTTCGACTACGACGTCAGACATCAACGACATTATTTCCCCCTTGAAAATGATCATATAAGTCATCTTTTACTTATTTTGACATCCATGAATTCAACATTATTATATTTTATGTTAATCTTGGTTCATGATGCTAGTTTAGTATCATATTTCTATCATACGAATTTCTCAATGTTTGTAATGACTAACCTCTATGTCTAGTGTTTTTGAGATAAAATAAAGTGACAGGATCAAAGATCATAAGGACCAAATTATGATGACTTTAAGTTAATCATCACCAAGATAGTGGTGATACCAAACACACTCAATGATCATGCCAAAAACGATAAGTTACACAACATCATGCGTAGTGCACGAGAGGTAAACTCCTAAGTATCAAAGTAAATTTTTTCTAATATTGTTATGTTTTTGCAATGTGTGTAGGACCACACGTGCGATACATGTCATAGGATTGGTGGTAACAAAATTATATAATAGCAGCATGGTGATTTGACATCAAAGTCGTAGAGACGGAAACTTCGACCACAACGAAGATGTATGCATATGCTATGTCCTTTATCTATTAACGTCTGCATTATTGTGAGTTTGACACAGGATTATCCTAAAGGCATCTAGAACAAACCTAATGGAGATAAGTACAAGAAACTTAAGCCACATGTTGCAACAACAATAGTTGGGGGCTAGTACCCTTACACTTGAACTTGATACCATGATTATTCTGACGCGCGACAGTAAGTCGAGACGCGTCATCAGATCCGACGCGCGACAGTGAGGTGAGATGCGTCATCGGATCCCACTCAAGTCGAGACGCGTCATCAGATCCCGATGCGCGTTAATAAGTTGAGACGCGTCATCAGATCCCGACGCGCGACAGTGAGTTGAGACGCGACGTCAAGCTAAGACACGACAGTAACTCGAGTAGCGTCATCAGATTCCGACGTTGATGAACAGTCGAGTGACGAAAGTAACACGAGTGCAAGTTACCTCTTCAATCGAAGATCTAATGTCATATGAATGTCATTCGTGACTTGCATGTTCAATACAACTCACAGGGAATACCTATCCAACCACTTTGCTTTATTTTCATATAATTATTTTGCATGTAACCCATGTCGCTTGTGTTCTAATGAATTCATATGTTTCTTTGTTATTGCATGTGTTATTGCATATGCGCTCCAAAGCACTTCCGTTGACAATACGAGGATGATCACTGTCTCGACATCATGACGCACGAATCCAACATCGAAATCTAGTGACGATCGCTCGATGACACTTGATTGACAACGAAGACACTTGACTTCAAAAGTTAGACACAAGACACCGTAACAATATTCAATGGTATGAGTTTCATAACTTAGTTGATGCATTTCATGTACTATCGATATCATGATAACAACCTAAGTATATAGCATGTAATTCTTGTCGATTAGTTATGCATATGACTCATGTCTTAGATAGCTAAAGCAAAAGTTTAATTCAAAAGTCATGATGTTATCTCTTAAGTGATAATCTATGTCTCATCATTATTATATTTTCTAAAATTCATGACGCATGTATACACATACAAACTGCTTACGCATGACAACGATTGATACGATTCAAATAGTGCAAACATTTAGACATTCGCATGCATAAGAACATAAGTTAGAAATCATGAAGCATACGACGCTTGTACCACGTCTTAATAAAGTAATTACACTAATATGTGATATTTACTCAATTCATATCCTTCTTGAATGATCTTAGCATTGAAACACTATGCTTTGACATCTTATTAGCCTTGTTGCCAAATGTTTTCTCTTTACTATTCAATTGGCCTTGTCGCTAGAATTTTGTCTCTCAACGCCATGTGGTCATGTCACTAGAAAATCTACATTTCATTAGCTTAAGTGGCCTTGACGCCAGATTCACAAATGGCCTCAGACGCCAGTGGCCTTGACGCCAGATTCACAAATGGCCTCAGACGCCAGTGGCCTTGACGCCAATTTATCATTAAGAGGCCTAGTCGCCCGACATCTTTCGATGAAACTCGACATGGCCTAGTCTCCAGTATGGCTTTATCGCCAGATACCATTTCTTATATGGCCATGTCGCCCGATATCACTTTACAATGTCTTATGTGTTTATCTTGTCAAACATTATTTGACAACAGCATAAATGGTCTTGACACCTGACTATATAATATGTTTATCTTTTCACATGGCTATGTCACTAGTAAAAATCAATGATTATTAAACTAATTTTTCTTTGAGTGGCTTTATCGCCAATAAGTGTTGCAAACAGGTTATTTCGACACCAAGTCAGGTTGTCTCATGGAAAGACGAGATCACAAGTCTCTCAATACCAACACACGTGTGTAAAGACAAAAGTATGATAAGTTACAAACCAGTGTTGCCATTGAACAACGCTAGGACCAATATGAATGTAACATCAGGTGCAAAGTTTGTTTTCTTAGTTTACGGCGTGCTTCAACTAAGAAAATGGGGGCTATTGTTATGGGCGAAATTCTCACGACACAAAGTAAAGTCCTTAGTGTTGTCCTATGACCAAGACGACCATAGGTTAGACGAGTCTTGGTGTTCAAGGTTGAATAAGATGGGGAATGCCAAGGAAACTAATGTTCATTTCCAAGCAATAGCAAATATCAATAACGCACCTTAGTGATGACGCACCTTAGTGACGGACGTCAATACTTGACGCCCGACAACTACAACGAAGTCTAACGGCCTTCAGTGACCTCCGTCGACCTCCAGTGACCTCCGACGTCCTTCAGTCATACGACGTCTGAAGATGACACTGACGCTGACGCCCGACGTCCAACCATGACGCGTCTCGCAGCGCGACGCCAGAAAGCTGCGGAACAAGTCAATGTTGTTACCATTGGATCCTATAATTAAGGAGAGAATTTCTAGCAGCCTTTAACCACTCAATGAAGTTGTTACAACGGATATGGAGCCTAAACAAGTCCACATTCATCCAGGGACCAAGTCTTGAAGTCAACAAACAACCTCCTAAAATCAAGGAAGTCATCCTTATCTTCCTCAACCGATTTTCTACCACTTAATGGCCTATAAAAGGAGAGCAACGACCATCCATTAAGGCAGATCATACATATCATATTCCAAGCATAAAACACCACACAAGTATACACTACAAGATACATCATCAAAAGATACATCATGAGGCTCCGTTTGATGATCTAAACGACGACAAGTCTCATCCGATTGTTCTACGAGCTACAACGATTGATTCAACGTTTATATATCTTCTCAATAGCTCTAATGTATACTTAACTCTTGTTCTTATTTATTTCTTTACCATCTATGGCCTTAGACGCCCGAGTTATCGTTGTATTTGTACCAATAATGGCTATAACACCCGTATCATAGTGAATTGGTGGACAAGTAACCACCCGCGGTTTTTACCCACCTTCATTGGGGTTTTCCGCGTCACCATATTGTGTCTTTATTCTTTCTATTTTCATTGTTTATATTTTGTAATCCCCCTTTCTTATCTAGTTATCGGTATCCCAACCAAAGGTCGTTCCTTGACGATTTTTGGCATTAACAAAGATGCTTTTTTTTTTTTTTTTTTAGATTTGTAATGTAATCAGAATTTAAAAGATAAACTAAGAATCAGTTCCTTTTTACATTAATCTAGTAATATAATTAATTACCTAGGAATCAATTCTTTTTAAAACTAGCATATTGTCCACCTAAGCTTCCACCTTGGTCCAACTCAGACTCCATGTCATTGGTTGGTAACCCACAGGGTTAGCAGATCATTCTCCCAACCAAACAACTTGAAGAAATTCCTAGGAATTTAATTTGGGAAATAATTTACCATGAAATACAACTTCCTATAAAAATTTATTTCCCGTGTCAACCAAACAAGTCCTAATATTATCCCTTTCCCCTCATTTTCATAACAAAAGTGATTAATAAGAATAAGGGTAATGCTATACATAGCCCTAATTTACTCTTGGAAAATGTATAAAGTTAGGAATTCATGACAAAAACACGCGCAAATCGGTGTAATTAGTGTGTTTTTGTCACGATTTTCTAAATTTAAACAATTTTTAAGAGTAAATTAAATGCTTATATGTAGCCCTTAGGGCTATGTATAGCATTTTCCTATAACCAAACTTCCCCGTAGGAGTTCTCCTCTCTGTAAAATGGGGAGTAAATTAAAATCTTATTCTAAGCTGAAGTTGCGCAAGAGTGGTGAAAAAATGTGGGAATGGGTAAAACAAAGAGGATCGCGTAAGAGACAGGGAGGTGCAATTTCACCCTCGGCTCCTCCTCTTCCAGATGATCAGCAGCAGCAACCATCTTCAGAGTCGATCTGTTTACCGTGTTTTCTTCCCTATAAGAAACGTAAGGCAGATCCAAGTTCTCATTCTCGTGCTTCCTCTGAGGGATCGGTGACCTCCCGTGAAGGGTCACCACAATCCGGATGAAAGTAGATCTTTGGAATTGCAGGGGATTGGGACAGGCGGACTCCCCTAAAATTCCTTATATTTCCTCTCTAGTCCGCTCTCACAGTGTATATATAGTGTGCCTTTTGGAAACTATGCTTTCTGTAGATAATGTTGTACAAAAGTTAGCTTCTTTGCCTTTTTTGGGTCACACAGGCATTGATGCTATAGGGCTTAGTGGTGGTGTGTTTATATGTTGGTTTACTTCTTTAGGACTAGAACCGGTTTTTAAGTCTCAAAATGTTTTTCTCTGTAAATTGGTGCAAGTAGATGAAATAAAATATGTGATGTTTGTGTATGGTTCGCCTCATGTTGCTAATCAGTTGGAGGTCTGGTATTTAATTAGTAGTATCTTGGATTCAATTTCGAATGTGGTAATCATTGGTGATTTTAATCAGGTGGAGTTTTTTTCGGATAAGTTAGGTGGTAATTTCTCGATTCCTGGTCAATTAGATTTCATAAATTGGCGTATGGGATTGAATTTGGTGGATGTTCCTTTTTTTGGTCCTAAGTATACCTGGACTAATAATAGGATTGATTGTGATCCAATTTTCGAGCGTTTGGATAGAGCCTATGGTTCCACCTCTTGGTTTGCCAACTTCCCTGAAACTCACCTTATCCATCAACCAATTTTGTTCTCGGATCATGCAGCTATTATCTTGTCAGATACTACTGATTTGGACTGTCATAAACGTCCTTATCGAATTGAACTTTGGTGTTTATCTGCTTTAGAGGTGCATAATATCATTGCTTCCGTCTTCTCCTTATTCTTTCCAGGATCTCCTATGTTTTCTCTATCCCGTAAACTTTCTGTTTCTAGGGACCGTCTTCTTGCTTGGTGCATCTCTCACAAGAAAGCATGGGGTATAAATTGGAAGCAATTAGTGTTTGAGGTTTCTCAGGCTTCAGATTCTCTTTGTTCCCGAGTGGATCGTTGTTTGTTTGTTTCTACTAAGAATGAAAAAGTGGCACAAGCTCAAGCAGCTTACATGTTTTGGCTACAAAGGGCTAAGATTAAATGGGATGCGCAGGGGGATTCTCATTCTCGTCTTCTCTTTTCCTCAGTTCAATCTCGAAAAAGGAAGAATAAGATTTTGGGCCTTCGAGATTCTACTGGAACTTGGCACAGGGAACCAGTTCAAATAGCTTCAATTATTTCGGACTTCTACCAGGACCTTTATACAACCTCAGATACGGCCTCGTCATATGATGCAGAATGGTGGGAGAGTCTCCGATTACCCACTTTATCTCTTGACCAGCGGAACTTTCTTATGAAGCCTTTTTCTTCGGAGGATATTAGAAGTGCAATTTTTAGTATTGAAGATAGTAAGTCCCCTGGTCCTGATGGATTTCCTTCTGCTTTTTTCAAGAACATGTGGGATTTAGTGGGTTCTTCGGTGGTTTCAGCTGTTCAACATTTTTTTGCTCATGGTTATCTGTTGAAAGACTGGAATCGGACATTCTTGGCTTTACTTCCGAAGGTGGATAGTCCGGAAGTTGTTTCTCAATTTCTTCCTATAGGCTTATGTAATGTGATCTACAAATGTATTGCGAAGTGTCTTACGAGTCTTCTTCGACAAGTGTTACCTAGTTTGGTAGCTGATTTTCAGAACGCCTTTGTTCCTGGTCGTCTTCTTTTGGACAATGCGTTAATAGCTCATGAGGCTCTTACCTATGTGAATACGTGGAAAGCTAAGAAGAAATTCTTCGCATCTATTAAATTGGACATGAATAAAGCCTATGACAGGGTTAATTGGGTTTTCCTGTTTCGTTTGCTTCAGGCTTATGGGTTTTCCCCATATTGGATTCAAATTATTCGTCAGTGTGTCTCCACGGTATCCTTTCAGGTGTTGGTTAATGGTAATCCTCTCAAGGCTTTTCAGCCTCAGTGTGGTCTTCGACAGGGTGACCCTTTATCCTCCTATTTGTTTGTGCTATGTATGGAAGTCTTGTCAGCTATGCTGCGCAGAGGGGAACGTTCCTCGCTTTTTAAAGGAATTAAGATTTCTAGGGGAGCCCCTTCGATTTCTCATCTGTTTTTCGCTGATGATTCTCTATTATTTTTGGAAGTTAATCCTGACGCTTGTGCTAATCTTATGACTTTGCTATCAGAATTTTGCTCCTTGTCTGGTCATGTGATTAGCCTTCAGAAATCTGCTGTGAAGTTTAGTCCTAATACTCCGACGGATTATCGTGATTTTCTTGCTCGGAGTTTGAAACTTCAAGTTATGCCTTCTCTAGGATCTTATTTAGGTTTGCCCAAGGAGTTAAGTCTTAGTAAAGTGGCTGATTTTGGATTCCTTATAGATAAGGTTGTTCAATGTCTGTCATGTTTGGCTTCTTTACGCCTATCTTCGGCTGCCAAATTGGTTATCATTAATTCAATTTTGGTTGCCTCTTTCAACCATATTTTGTCGGTATTTAAGGTTCCTTCTTCGATCTGCGCTACGATCGATAATTTGTTGGCTCGTTTTTGGTGGAAGTCGGATCCTCATTCTCGGGGACTAGTTTTACGCTCCAAGACGCTTTTGCATCTCCCAAAAGGAATGGGAGGTTTAGGCATTCGTCGTTTAGATTCTTTCAATTCTGCTCTTTTGGCTAGGCAATGTTGGCGCATACAGCACAATCCTCAACTTCTGGTTTCCAGGCTTCTTTTCGCGAAATATCCATCTCTGAGGTATGTTCACACTAAATCAATTTCTGGATCTTCATGGGGTTGCCGTGGTTTGTTACAAGGGTTGTCTGCTCTGTCAAAGGGTATAGCTTGGAAGGTTGGTTCTGGGTCCCGTGTTCATGTTCTTGAGGATGCTTGGGTTCCAGGGGAACCTCTCTCTTTTCGCAACAATTGTGAGATGCCTCTTCCATCGCATGTTTCTTCTATTATTAATCCGCGTTCTTACGCGTGGGATATGGTTCTGGTTCATCGGCTTTTTGATTCCTCTACTTCAAATCGCATTTTGGCTTTGGAACGCCCGACCAAACCAATGGATGATTTTGTGTACTGGAAATTTTCAAGAGATGGAAATTTTTCTACCAAGTCCGCCTATGCTATGATGCTTCGTCAGTTTAGTCCTTCTGATGGGATGTTACCCTTTTCCTTTGCATGGTGGAAGGTGTTTTGGAAACTGCCTATTTTACCGAAATTGCAATGCTTCTGTTGGAAATTCCTTCATAATGCTTTACCCTTATTTGGGACTCTTCAAGCCCATGGAATTCCGGTAGATTCAACTTATGTTCTTTGTCATAATAATCAGGAGACGGTTGATCATTTGTTTCGTGACTGTTCCTTTATCAACAGTCTTTGGTCTGCCAATTCATTTCTTCAGAGCCTTATGGTTCGTGGCGATAAGCCTTTTTCTGTTTGGTTTGTTGACAAGGTGTTGTCTTTGCGACGATCCAAGTCTTGGGAAGCTTTAATGGTTTTGATTTCGTTTCTGTGGGCAATTTGGATAGCTCGTAATCATAAGATCTTTAGACAAGCTGTGATTTCTCCAGCGTTTATTTTCCTCACAATGCAAGATTGGACGTCGAGGGGCTTAGCATCTCAGGATAATAAGTCTTCTTCTTTAGTTCCTAGCATTGGCTCCAGATCTCGAGTTATGCCTGACACGAAGTCTTCTTGTTTTTCTTGCTGTTTTCAGGGTTCCGGGGATTCTTCCTTTGGTATTTGTCTGGTCTTTGATGGGGCTTTCAATGCTCATGATAATGCTGCAGGAGCAGGTTGGGTTTTTAGAAGACCTAGTTCGGACGTAGTAATTGGTGGGGGTTCTAGAGCTTTTCTTTCTTCCTCTGCTTTACACTCGGAGTTGCAGGCATTGCTATGGGCTCTTCGTTCTGCTGGTCATCGTGGTTTTAGAAGTTTGTTGATCTATACAGACTGTTTCTCTTTATTATCTTTGCTTCAAGACAGGGGTAGTTCGGATATCTCCTGCTGCTGGTTGATTCAGGATATAAAAGATCTGATTCGAAGATTTGTGAGCTTAGGAAGGTCCCTCGTCAATGGGTCGCTCCCGCTCATTAGTTGGCTGTCCAGGGTCGTCGTCGTCAGTTTTTATTTTGGTCTTTTTAGTTGTTTGTTTCTTTGTTTGTTCGTCTTGTCAAAAAAAAAAAAAAAAAAACTTCCCCATAAAAAAAAAAAAAAAAAAAAAAAAAAACCAAACTTCACCTCGCGAATAGTAAGCTAGGCAGCATATTAAATTTGGTAGTGAAACTGGTGAGACGACAGAGGAAATGGAGGCGGCGAAACCCAGAAATGGCGGAGCTAAGATATGCTTCCTTTGTAATCAAAGAAAACCTGCTCTTAAACGCCCTAAAACCCTCCAACAGGTTTTTCTGTGATTTCCCTTTTTTCAATTTCTTCCTTTTTGTTTGCTATGATTCTTAGATTATACCCAATACTTCAAATTATCTACATTTTGCAACTTTTTAATCTAATATATTGTTGTATATGCAATTATACGTTATGCTAAAACCCTATTTTTTATTTTTTTATTTTTTTTATTTTATGGGGGTTAAAGATTTGCAGGGAATGCTTTTATACTGTGTTTGAAGAAGAGATTCATAGTTGCATAATTGAAAATCAGCTGTTTAAGCCGGGGGAACGTGTTGCAATTGGCGCTTCGGGTGGAAAAGGTAAAGTAGTTATGAGAATGTAATTGGTATTATGATCATCAACTATCTAATTGCAAATTTAGCATGTAAATGATTAATTAATGTTAGAAATTTCGTTAATATTGGTGTTTATGATGTCTTAAATTAATTGGCATTGAAGTGAATTGATGATGTTTATTGGGTCAATTTCTCATTTAACAAACAAGGTTGCTATTGCCTGAAATTTCCTTTGCATCGAGGAGCTGAACTTACTTTTGATTATCGTTGTTTAATTGAACTAACAAGTAGCTGTATAAACTGTTGCAATGAAGGAAATCTTGTATATCCCACCATATATTAATATAAAGCGAATTTTATTCGTTATACATAATTTAACATTTTAAGTCAATACCAATTAGCTTGCTAGAGTTCCCTTTGGTTAGTTGTACAAGTATGTTGTAGTGAATACTGCAGTTCTCTATTTTCTAGCAGTTGATAGTCTATGTAGTAATCTAAAGCAGAAACAATATGATACGGAATAGTTGTTTTCGTTTGTTGGGTTTGTAGATTTTTGTTGAACATCTCTATTTTAAGTACTGTCACTCTTCTAAATAGCGGTTTGCAGTAGTTGAATTTGGGCATTAATTGGCGATAACTTGTTATAACAGTCTGAATTCTTGTTGGCACTAAGTGAGATGGATAAAGGATCATGTTACCTGCTATAGCACCTAGAGATTTTACAACTATTTAAAATACCCGCTATAAAACTCAAACTTCAATCCATTTTCTATACCCCTAATATGCTGATAGCAACTGGACGTGTTTCTGATTCTGACATTAAGTTACTTGTCAGATTCCACTGTCCTTGCATATGTGTTGTCAGAGTTGAATCGTCGACACAACTATGGCTTGGATCTCTTTCTATTATCAATAGATGAAGGCATCACTGGTTACAGGGATGACTCGCTTGAAACTGTCAAGAGGAATGAAATTCAAGTGAGTTGGTAAATTTTTTAGTTTCAACGAAATTTCAGCTGTAAATTGAATGTGCCTTTAATTCAGTTTATTTCTTTTTTTTTTTTTTTTTTTTTTTTTTTTTTTTTTTTTTTTTCTAGTGAACATGATCGACAAAGTTGTTGTAGCCAGTCAACTGCTTAACACTTCTACTAGTGATTAGCAGTTTTATTATCAGTTTATGTTGAATCATTTGAATGTTAGTTGTTACCCGTTTGTGGTCTAATTAACTAATTGAAGTTAAAGAATTAAAAATTGAACTTTTGTTGTAGCGATTGTATGAGGCTTGACGCTCTGACAGATAAATGGTGAATTAAGAAAAAAAATATTATGAAATGCTACCTTTAGTCACCCAAAAGCTAGATTAGTAGCTTTCACTAACTGTACCCATGTGTCTAATCTCTACCTAAAATCTACCTTGTGAAATTCCTAACATCTAGTCATTAGTAGCTAGTACCATTTACACTCACATAGTTTTGCTTTTATATAAGTTTAGCCTTTCTTTTGTCTTTTTCAAACTAGTTTTTTTTTTTTTTTTTTTCGGAGTGAGGCTGTTTAGGAAGAAAGAGAGGTAAGGTGATGTGTAGGGAATGATCTTGGGGGAGGCTTAAGAATATTAGATCATATTACTAACCAAGTTTGGCTGTTGCCAGTCTAGTTGAAGATAGAACTTGTGGATTGTTGATCATCATTCATTGTTGGTATATTTACCTCCTTTTTTGTTAATTGTCATTGTTACAATAGGAAAGGAATGTTGCTGGGTTATTTGATCTCTCTTGTTTTATCTTGGTCTTTATCCAGTTCTGTCATTATTTTTTGTCGGCACAAGAGCGACAGAGGTGCAATTGATAAGCTTATAAATATTACAGGTATGAAAGAAATAATAGAATGAAAGCATTAAAACGATCTACACCTGGAGCTTTTGCATCTTCAATAGAAAAAAGAGCAGCATCTATATTAGCATTTGTAATGGAAGCACATAAAACCTCTCTTGCCATTAGGCTAACTCTGTTGCCTTTCCTCGTTATAGGCACATCAATGCCAGCCTGCTAGGTAGATAAATGGCAGTACTTCCCAATAGTTTCTAATAGAAATTAGAATATTAGATATATACCACTATTTTTGAATATCATCAGCATCATTGATAGGATTCCCTTGATAGGTTTTAGTTTTGAGCTTTTAATAGAAGCAATTATAAAAATATAGGATAAAATGATTAGTTAGTTAGATCCACAAACCAAGGAAAGCAAGACAAAGGTGGTGTGTGTAATAACGTAAGGGAGGGAGAGTAGAAAGGGGGTATTGTAAGAAAAATTGTGGGGTAAGATAGTAAAATGTGTTAACCAAAATCAGAATACAGTAGAAGTTGTTGGAACCAAAAAGAAAATAAATGTGGGTAGGACTAATACGTATTAAAGTTTACTTTTTTTCGCCAACTATTAATTTTTTGAGAAGTTTTATTTACGGAGTAATCAAAATAATTAACCTTACATATAATTTAAGCAACACTCTTTTTGTCCTTAATTAATTATTACAGTTTCCTTTTCATATGCCCATTTATTTTGTACATTTCTATTTTGGAAAATGCAAATGTATAATTTTATTACACCTCTCTTTTTCCACTAGTCCAATACTATAAAGTTGAAATCTACTCTTGTAATTTTTTTTTTTTTTTTTTATCAAGAAAAAAAAAAAAAAACCTCATAATCACCTACTTTTTCAATTGACAGAATACCCCCATCATCCTTTGTCACACCTATATTGTCAATAAACTGGTAATTTAAAAATCAAACAAATCATCACCTAAAATTACGTGCCTAGGTAAATGTCAAAACAAATATGGACCAAGTATTAATTGTATTAATTTGACTTGCTTTGTGCCTGTGTGCCCAAGTTCACGTCAAATGTTGGATGTTTCGTAGAACGTGTCATTTGAATTTAACCGATCCATATCTAATTCTGACAGCCATATCCAATTGTTGTGCAAGAACTCATTTGTACTTTTATTCCATGCTTAGTGAATTTAGTATGTGTCTATTGTTTATTTTCCTGTTGGAATTTGTTTGGTGATGTTCATGATTTGTGTACTTGTTCTTAGTATGGGTTACCCTTGAAAGTTGTGTCGTACAAAGATTTATACGGGTGGACTATGGATGAGATAGTGAAGATGATAGGGCTGAAGAATAACTGCACATTCTGTGGAGTATTTAGGCGTCAGGTATGTCAGCACTAATTGCACTCATACGTTGATAATCGAATCTCCTTTGTTCTGTGAAAGTTTATTTCAATGAGAAACTCCGGCTCAGTTATTTCATGTTTGAGAAATTAGTAAGCTATTTATTTGTATTACCTAACATGCTTATTCATCTCTAAGGCTCTTGATCGAGGTGCTGCAATGTTGAAAGTAGACAAGCTTGTTACTGGACATAATGCAGATGATATTGCTGAGACAGTGCTCTTGAACATATTACGTGGTGATATTGCCAGGTATAACCTCTTATTGGTGTCTTTCCCAGCTTTATGATTTCTGTAACCCTCCCCCCCACCCCCCCCCCTCTCTCTCTCTCTCTCTCCAACACATGAAAGAGGAATTTGCTCTGATTTAGGTATACTGAAAAGAGAACTAGGAAGCCATTACTACAACTCTAGCTTAAGCCGCTTGTTGAATTTCCACATGGCTAACTGATTAAGCCTTGTATTTGTGTTTTTCCTTGTTTGCTTTTTCTCCTGCCTATTTATGGCTGAGTCTGGTAGCTTTTCACTTGTAGATTGAGTAGATGCACCTCAATAACAACCGGTGAAGATGGACCTATTCCAAGATGCAAGCCGTTTAAGTATACTTACGAGAAGGAGATTGTTATATATCTTTTTTTGCTAAAGTCCTTATTTGTTTATTAGCTTTGCTTAAATTTTACTGATCTGGCTGTGACATTTGCTACAAAGTGTTGATTTTTTACTGTGTATTTGCTATGTATTGGTTATATTTTTTCTGTGAAACCTTGACTACACCATTTACGTATGCTTATTTCAAGAGGCTCGACTACTTCTCCACTGAATGTAAGTGTATACTTGTGTTTTTCTGGCTGGTTTCTTTCAGGATTCCTTTGTCCTTGCTTTTCATTCACATCTTTTGCTCCAAAAGTTACCGACCAACTTAACTGAACTGAAGACCAAAATATTTTCATTGGAGGCGGGGGTATAATTTGAATGGGAAGTAGCTTATACTTGTATTTCTTACTTTTGCAGTTCTCATATTAATCAGGCCTGATTAAAATGCATAAAGACTAGAAATCATTGATTGGCACAACTTTAGATTTCAAACTATATTATATCTAAAGCCCTAATCTCTAAGGTTGTATGACAACTCAAGTATTGCTAATATAGTAAGTCTCGACTTTTTTTTTTCAGTCCACTTCAACCAAAGCTAAGGTATTCAACATCAGTCACTGTTCATTTTTTGGTTTTATGATTTTAGAAGTCTTGTGATATAGGTGTGTAATGAACTCTAACTAAATCCCTTATATAATAAGTTATCATGTTGATTTCGAAAATTGACTCAAATAAAAAAAGTTTGGACATTACTTTTTGTGGTTATCATATTTTCATTAAATTTCAAATAAACTGGATTAAAAATGGTAATGAACAGACCTGAGTTGTGGGATGTTTATCAATTATCATAGCTTTTAGTGGAGGCTGATTTTAGTTATCTTGAAAATTTCTACATTTCAGATTCTCCTTGATGTTTTTGTAAAATGTTGCTTCTAGAAGACTCTTATCATTTTGAATATCCTCACTCTGTGTTAATTGCAGGTATTTACTCCCCAAATGCGTATCGTGGGTTTTCCAGGGAATTCATCAAGGATTTGGAGAGGATTAGGTTTTTATTTATCGAACCTTTTGTTTCTACTTTCTTTTCTGGTAAAATCAAATGTGTACTGATTGATAAAATGTTGTCATCCAGACCTAGTGCCATACTTGATATCATTAAATCTGGCGAGAGGTTCAGGATTGCCACTTCAACAAAAATGCCAGAGCAGGGGATATGTGAGCGTTGCGGTTATATATCAAGCCAGGTATCATGTGCCTTCTCCTTTTGAACATATACCTCCGATGTCTACATGTTACAGCTAGAAGTCTAGAATCCTATTCTCACCATTAGTTGATTATTAAAACTGTTGGTAGTTTTATTGGTGTGTTTATCAAACACCCCAAGACTTATGGGTATATCTGTGAAGTACCTTTTTCGGTTTTAGTCTCAGGCATGCATCTCTTTCTGCAATCACTATGTTACAGTAGGTCTGCCACGGCCCACGGACTGGTTACTGCAACTTGATTTCCCAAGGGAAAGAGAGGAACTTTTTCCTGTTCTTGAATAGTGGAATCCTTAAAGCTTACTAATTCCCTATATCTAGTCTTGGCAAGCTTCATTGTTCTCTCATTCCAAGAATGCTAAGAGTTTTTGGGTTCTTATGTGCAGAAATGGTGTAAGGCTTGTGTGTTGCTTGATGGACTGAACCGTGGTCTTCCTAAGTTGGGAATTGGAAGGAGTCGTGTTCATGATGATGACGAGTGTAAAAAGGAAGCTAAACACATGACTGGAAGCAAGGAGGTCCAAGGAAAACCATGTGGAAATTTAGACTTTTGATGCAAATACCTTTGCATTAATGTTTCTGGTATGTATAGTGTGCTCCTCAGGTTATTGCTGTTAAGTATCTTGTCTCTTCATGATAAGATGAGAAGTGTACTGAAATATTTTTTATTTTGTTTGGAGATGTATTAACTACTACAACTTACGACGCTCTACGTATAAAAGCAAATATGCATTCCGTGTTTAACTCTTGAGTTCTTCTATCTTAAGCATTTTATACAACTTGACAATGAACCATAATCATTTGTGATGGAATCTGTCTGTTAAAGTTAAATTGTGTATATTCGTTATATCAAGTTGTGGTTTGGTCTGCTTGTTTTCCCTTCGCCTTGAAAATTTGGTTGAATTTCTTGTTAGTGTTGATATTTCTTTCTTTTGGCAGTTTGTCTATTACGCGGTACCAGTGCGTATGAGATGACAAATTGTGACTGTTATGGCATTGTTGCCTTAGCTGTTTAGTCATCTCCCTAAATCCCATCTGGAATTAGGAACCAACTCATTGCAATGTCATTAAATTCTCTTTGTATTTCCTGATTGCTTGCACAATTTTTGTCGTTTTACTGCTAATGATTATTAAGGTGAAAATGTTTCTTACTTTTCTCCTGTCTAATAAAATTAAACAGGATTGTTTATTTTGCAGGCAAGCCAGGAACACGCATTTTTTGTAGCAAGTGACCGCTGTCTTTTTGTTTTTTTTTGGTAAATTCATTTTGAGCAAGAGAGTTTGTGGCTAGAAATGCAACTAGGTGATCAGATCGAAACCTTTTGGTGCAGCAATTCTAATGCGTTCTAATGCATCACTTAGCCGTTGCTCTTGCCTTTGGGCATACTGCAGTATGTGTTTAATATGGGGAATTAATTCGCCAATTTACATTTTCTCAGCTTTAAATTATGTTACTTCACTATATTACCTCACTAGTTTGTTTGTTTTTTTTTTTTTTTTTTTTTTTTTTTTTTTTTTTTTTTTTTGCGTGTAATTTTAATTTTAAATTGAAGACAGTAGTAAGTACTAAGTAGTAATGTAATATACTAATATTACATCAATTATCATCTTTGTATCACTGTTTAAAGTATACAAAAGTAATTTGTACAACAAATTAATTTTTGAAAATTTTTCTATAGTGATAGTTATCTTTGTTGAAGCTTATGTCCATTTTATTTTAATCATTGCTTAAGTGCTCTTGAACAAACTAGCTCGAACATAAATTTCATACTCTTCATTTAGTGAATGGGCCTAGCTCGAACCATTTAGTACTTGACTCATCTAGGCTCGTGAACAACTTGTTCGTGTCCATTGTTTTGTTTATATGATCATTCCAACCATTGTTATATTTTAGGATAAGAATTATCTAATAAGAAATTTGTAGTAAAAATCACAAAAGGTAACCAAAATATTATTAACAAAATTGATTAAATAATATTTATAATAAAAAGTATTTGTTAAATTTGATCTTTCTCGTTTAGTAATAATAAAAATCGTTTATATTACTATATCTCAATCAAAGTTTGAGATTGAATTAAACAAGCTACTCATAAGTTAAGCTTGAACAATTAAAAAAAAAACACCTACATGAGCCAAGCTCGAAAATGTACAATTAAAGCTTGGCTCGGAAAATGTACAATTAAAGCTTGGCTCGAGCTTGAGCTTATGGAGCATGTCCACGAGGGCGCCTTGCTTTTGACCAAGTTTAGGACTTTGTATGATACTATCCCAAGACCAAGTCCTTAGTCTGAACAAGCTAATACTCAGCTTGACTCTTTTCGGGACTTCGGGCCATCCCAAATCGTTACAAGTAAAATTTTACTAGTACCATTTCTATCCCAAGACCAAGACTCCCAACCTTTTCTCCTCCCAGCTCATATCAACAGTCGATTAGTCGAAACTTGTTCAGAAAAAGCGAGAAGAGCGTCCTCCTTTCCATCAATGGCGTCTCCTCCACCCTCTTCCTCCATTGGAGCAGAACCTCCAAAGACCAAACCAAGAGGAAGCTTATTCAGAAATGCCATGAAAAGGAAGCATCAATTCATCCAATTCTTCGCAATGTCTGGAATTCTCCTTCTTAGTATGCGATCTTTAGGTCAAAAGTACCGCATTCATGACCTTCTTCAAGATACTGCTGCACTTCAAGACGAACATAGTTCTCTTGTTAATCGTATGGACCACATCAAATCCAGTCTTCGTCATGAAGCTTCTCTCGATTCTTCTGGAATCTTCGCTTCTCGCCTTCGTCAACTCTTCGGCGATGATCAGTAATTCTTGATTTTACTATTTTGATGTTTCAATTTTTCATCTTTAGCTACTCTTACTACTAGTGTTGAGAAATTTGGATTATACTAGGGTTTAGGGTTTATATAGCTTTTATTTATATGATATGATATGATATGATATGATGTGGTTTACATTTTATGGAATAATTTGTGCCACTGGATGGTGATTGCGCGAAATGCTAATGAAGTTGTTTGCAAATATGCTGTTAGATGTTTATGTGATGTGAATATGTTTTGGTTTTAATTATTTTGTTGAGCTCTAAATTGAGCTAAGTTTTAGTGATTATGTAGCATCTATTGCAAAAATGTAGATGATTTAAATTTGGAACACCTATGCTTTGTGCAAAATTGCGAAATTGTAAATTTGACATTGCATTTAGATTTATTTTTTGAACACCAGTTGATTAAATTGATGTGTGTAGAGGTTATAATTTGTTGAGAGGAGGTTGAAATTGATGTGATTTGCCTGTGATGGATAATGGAGAAGTTAGTTTTAGTGATTTTTTGGCTGTTGAAGATTGATTTTACAAACAAGGGGTGCTGGAGGGCGAAATAAATAGACAATTAAATTGGACCAAGATGAAGTTCAAACCTTTAGTGTTCATGGTAGTGATCTTGAGCTACATTGTATGGGTAATTTGATAGTTGATGTGGGTCATTTGCATTTACATGGAGAATACCCAACCCAGAAGTTTCAAACAGACACACTTCATGAGTTTGTATTAACTATGAAGTACATGAAGTATAGGCATATATGAATATATCTAGAGCCCAGATGTCTTTAGCTGTTATGCTTAAGAGTGGATATAGTGTATAGAAAGTTTTGTATGATACTATCATGTATAAATGATTCATTGCCACTTCCACTGGCTATGCATAGAGGGAGGGGAGGGGGGGGGGTAGGAAATATATGCAACACTGAATAGAGGGCTGAGATAAGTGTACTAATTGCTTTTTATGCAGGGGAAGGAAATAATGAGCGGCTGTATGGTGTAAGGATTAAGTCTTTTGAGTGGCTCCACGGTTTAGGGACAGTGAGCGTGTATTCCGCTGTTTGTAAATTAAGCTAGCCCAAAGTTTATAGAAGTCATGAAGAGGGGTGGTGTTTGAAGAGTAGGTATAAAATCTTTTGTTTCTTTCTATCATTAAATTCTTCTGACAAGGGGAATCAAAGAGCATTGTAGGATGAGTAGTCTTCATCTAGAGATTGTCTGGATCAGTCTGATGATTTAAGGACTTTGGTTTACTCTTTAGGATTCTGAATTCATTTACTAAAACTAAATAATTAGTATCAGTAGATACCTTTACAATTTACACATTTGATGAGATCCCATATGATCAATCATGTCTGAATCTCTGATATGTATATCTTTTCTCAAAAAAAAGTTCAGTCTGTGTAGATTTTACATGTTAAAGGACCAGGAGACTGGTCGAGACAAGCCTTGTGGCATGGAATACTTTCTCGATTCCTAAAATGAAATGGTGAAGGGTAAGAAGGTTGAGATGGTTGGTGTTAGATATATAGGATGGAAAGAATTTGGTTAATCTGACATTGTAGTCCCTTTTAATCTGACATTGTAGCTGTGGTTTTGTTGAAAGGAAGAATTACTTTTGGCCATTTCTGCTATAAGAGGGGATGTATGGCTGTTGTAACTTCGTAATTGATGTTGAGGTTAAAATGCTCTTGAGAAATGTGCCTCACGAGAATAATTAGAAGTGTTTGGGGAAGCTGCTAATCAAAGTTGTAAATGTAGGAGTGGCAAAGTTCCTTTTTTTTTTTTTTTTTTTTTTTTTGTGTGTTGTGGATAAATATGGGATTAAGGCTTTGATTGATTGATTGAATTGTCGTGGAGAACTGAAAGTAGGGCAGAGGAAAGTGATTATTTGATAAGGCTTTTATATTCTCAAGGTCTTCTTTGTGATATCTGCAAACTAGGTGAAGAATTATTTCCATGTGCTCTTGGCAACTGGTATGATCCATGGGTTGGGAATGCAGGTGGTGGATTAGATGCTTCTTTATTATTGGCACAAGTTTGATACACAAATTTTGTTTGTGAGAATTACAGCTGTGTCTTATATTGATTATTATGTTCTGTATAGGTAGAAAATCATTTGAATTTCAGCAATGATTCTTTGACTCTTCTGTGGCACTTTTTTTTTTTTGGGTGGTGAACTTCTAATATCTAGTAGTAGAATAATTGTAACACTTGTAGAAGCTGTAGGATTTGATGTGTAGGGGTTGAGTATTCGAGATAAGTACTCTTTATGGTATGTGTTTGTCTGCTATTCTCAGAAGAAATTGTGTGCTTATATATTTTATGCTATTTTACAACACATGGCAAGTTAAATATTAGCTTGGAGCTGAATACGTAATATGCTTGTGTTTGTTTGAGCCATAATTCCATTTAATTGGAGTAGTTGTCCATATAGTCTTGAGAGAAGACAATCCTAGCTTAACCAACCGAAGCCCTTTAGAGGGTAGGGTATTGAAAGGAGTTCAGAAAATGAAACATTGTTTTGATCTGTATGTAGCACTTTGTTGAAATTCACAAGCTTATTACTTAACACACAATCAAATTCGCGAAAAATAAAGTATGCTGCTCTGTGTAAGAAATCTTTAGGATGATTGTTTGTAGCATATGTTCAGATCCTGTTGGCTGGTATTCTTGTGTAGACATGGACAGGTGAACATATCAACAAGTAAAGTTATAAGTTGAGAACTGAGTTTGAAGTTGTATAATTGAGGAACACCATTAAGTAGACGAGTGTAAGGGATCATGTTACAAGAATCCACACATAGTCCTAATGTTACATTCAAATTATTGATATGCTTTGAGCTATTAAATTGCTGGATTGTTTGTGACACCAAATGGAATATTCGGTTTCTAGTATGCGCAGGGTGTAGAGCAGTACTTGGAGGAAAAGACTGTGATTCTGTTATGGGATAGCTTGAGAAAGAAGAGAGTATCAGTCAGGGAATCATTTGGTCTATACACAAAGGAGATAAGAGAGTAAGAAATCAATGAAAATGATTGTCGAGTGAATTGTACTCTAATTTGTAGTTGGGAGTGTCCAGCTGCCACTCAGAGGTGTAATATGATGAACACCATTTTATGATTAATTGACTTTTTGGGATACGTAAATGCGCAATTATTAATTTTATATACCTTAAATTTTGATTGTGAGAGTTAGAGCTGTGTCTCCTACTGTTTACTATGCTAGGCAAGAACTTGTTTTGAATTTCAGCAATGTTTCTTTGACTGTTCTGACTTCTGAGATGCATAGGTGTTGATTATTGATAGACTTAAATCTTGGTGGTTTGCTAATTCCTAGTAGTAGAATAAAAGTAGAAGTCATAGGATTTAGTGCAGGAATTGAATATTCGGGATAAGTAGGCAGTGGTGATGGGTTTGTCTACTTTTCTCAAAAAAAGTTGCTCTCCCCCTTGTATATATATAGAGTTGGTCCATATATAGGGGAGATCAGAATGTGAAATCAATGAGATGAACGGCAAATGCCCAGCCACTTGAAGATGTGGGATTGTGTAAACCAACTGACCTATTACAAAAATCACTTTATGGTTTTAAAAGAGTTGATGGTCAATCATTCTTATGTTTAGTGTGGACCTGGGCGGGCGACTGATATGGATCTTTCACACCAAGAATTGTAAAGTTCTGCAGGGTCATGCTCATGCCAAGTGAAATATGTGGACTTTGGTCATGAAAATTAAACAAGGCCATGTCCATTTTTGCGTATCTTTTGATCTTACCACCTAATTAGTCTAAACTAAAGTTGTGATTTAGCTGATGATGAATGAATGATTCATCTAGGGTAGAGACATTGCAAACTCAAAAGTAGCAGGATATAAGATGAGACATCAAGTGGAATGTCTGATTGCTATTGATGGCAATCTGGCATGTTTTGTGGGAGTTTTAATCATACTGTAATACTCCATGCTAAAAGTGGACAGTAGACAATTGTGAACTCTGCTACATTTTTGATGGGTTTCACCGTAGCTAACTATGCCACTATATGGTATGTGAATGGCTATGAGCCTTAAAGCTTTACTAGGTGTCAACGGCTCAACGCTTTGGACCAATCAAGTAGATTCAGACTTGGTTGTTTATCATAGTTATTTACAGACTGCTTGCAGGGAGGAGCCATAGAATTAGGAATTATCAGGTTCATACATCCGGCAAATAGTTCTAGAATAAAACAAAGCAATAGTTGATTGCTACACTTGCTTTTGCTTTTTGAGTGAGATTAATTAGAGAAAGTTGGATGAAAATGACTGAATTTATTTAAAGATACAAATAATTTCCTTTGTCGTTTTCTTGACCCGGAGAGCCGGAGGTGTTTATTAAGAGCTTGATAGGGAAGGCTACACAAAACACATGATGTCTCAGTGCTATACACCCTTTAGAGTGGAAGTAATTGAGCAACTCACATTTCACCTACTAAAAGTGGGTACAGCAACTGTTTCGAATATCGTAGATTATCTGATACTCGGACTCATCATTTCAACTCAAATATATGTGACTTGTACTCTAATCCAAATAGGGTTGGACATATGTATCATGACTCATGAGTATATTCTTATTCCCATTCCAACTGTTAAAAGTGTTAATGTTCACACCTGATTCTGACTGTGCTAGGTTAAGCCTTTACACAAAAATGGTCTTCGGTTTAATTAATTTGAGTATTTCATTTGAATAAATGTCCATCTCACTTTTTGAGTATTATGGTATGTGTGACTCCTTAATTGTTCATTTTTTAATGGTGCATGTTAACCATGGATGTTAAACAATAATACAATATAACTAGTGCTGTCAAATTTCAAACCAAAACCGTTTAACTGCCCGAAACCGACCGACCCAAATGAGAACCGAACCGATTAAAAACCGATTTTTTTGAAACCGAAAATCGACCCGATTTGTATTTTAGTAAACCCGAAACCGAATCGACCCGAATAATGTTAAACCGTATAAGAACCGAACCCGTTAACAAACCGAACCAAATATAAACCGAACTGAAAGAAAACCGAACCGAAAAAGAACCGAACCGTATCTAACCCGAAACCAGTTCCAACCCGAAACCGTTTAAACTGGCAAAAAAACCGCTTACACCGAACCGTTAGCAAACTGCTACCCGTTTGCACCGAACCATTTAAAAACCGAACTGATTGTAAACCGAACTGGTTATAAACCGAACCGTT